AATAAATAAAATAAAAATGTAAAACTAACCTTTAAAAAATTAAAACACTAATAAGATAACACTAAACCAATTAAAAAAAACTATTAACTATTAAACAAGAAAAATAAAAAAAGGTTCAAGTGAAGAACATGAAAACAAATATTTCCTTCACCATTCAAGCATTATTTAAAAATAAATAAATAAATATTAAAAAAAAAAAAAACAGAATCTACCTATATTTTGAAAACTTTACAAAACCCCAGATTGTTTTTTTGGAATATTAGCCAAATTTTAATTTCTTTTAAACCCCAGAAATAATTTTTTTTTACATTATATTTTGACACTCAAAGCCTAAATATAAAAAAAGAATAAGAAAGAATAATGATAGAGTATGAGGAGACAAAATAAATTATGAAGAAAATATTTTACAATATCTTTTACATACATGTGAACATACACACACATTTTAGACGCATATGCATACACACATATACATATGCATAAAAAGAAGAAAAAATCAACCTAACACCAATACAAAAATGACAAAAATTAGTTTTTTAACTTAATATAAAAATAACAAAATGAGAAATTTGACAGATATTTGCTGATATCTCCAGACAAGTGAACCAACGATTAAACAAAGGTTCCCTACAAAACGAAACAGTATAAGAGACTAAGTCAAAAAAACCACTAGGACACAAAGGATTATTCAGTTTGGAAAAATTAGAAAACAGAAACATTACTCAAAATCAAAAACAAAAGACAAGTAATCAGGAAGAGCCAATAGATAGCAATTGACATTGCATTTAAATTTTTAAGATTAAAATTGACTGAGAACATGGAGCTGAGAGAGAGCCAAGTGAGAAGTGTAAAAAAAAATTGTTAGCATAGAACTTATGGTCACATCTAGTTAACTCAACTATAAATTGATGAGAACTCATCACCAATCTAGTACTGCACTTAAATTCATAAAGTCTTGGTACCATAGTGAAGAGCTCATCCAAACAATTACCATGAAAATATTTATAGAAAAGACAGTGTGGCAACTTTATGGAAGTGGGAAAGTGACTGAAGCCAAGATGTCAGATCAGGGCCAATAATATTGTTGATTCCTTGCTAGTATCATACAACTTGGCATTCATGACAATTATACCTGTTGCCGTCAAGTGAAGACCTAATGGATGTGTCACCTTCCACTTATTTCCTGGTTGGACATTCAAATCAGGACACGATTCACTTGTTGATATGACTAATTTGCTTTACCATGATAGAACTTATGGTTAAAGAAACATTCAAGTAATCACACTTCTCGTTTTACACTGTGTGTGTGTTGTGTGCTTCAAATCAGTACACTATCATGAAATCAAAAAGTAATGTATTATATATTTTATTTCCCCTAATTACTAATGAGATAGTCCATTCTATGATTTTAACATAAATCATGTTTGCTTATTGCTAAATGCCTGCTGATACTATAACAGCAGAATGTCTTATTATCTCAAATAGGGAAATAAGGGCTGGGAGAGAATGTTTCATTTTACAATGCATCAACTTTTTATGTTGGTTATTTAATGTTGAAAATAGTATTTTTTTAAAATTATATTTGAACCAGTGAGCTTAGTTTTTGGGACAGGTAAATATTGACAATTTATATTTGATTCAGGGTGTTATATCCTGTGCTAATAGGAATATATACCTGAAAAAACAAGGTGGATAAAATAAAATTTTATTGTATTTATATATGAGTTTGAAATTTACTTGGTTCAAAAATCAGTAAATATTTTAAACTCATTTATAATTAGGTACCTCAAAAATTCACTAAAATGAGCATACATGATGAAAAAAAATGTTTCAAACTTAATAAAAAGGAAGTTTTACCATCTTTGTTGTAACATTTTTTTATTGTTAAGAGGAAAGACCAAGGCAGTTTTTAATTATTATAGTTTTTAATCCTTTCTAGAAGCTTTGAAATTTTAGTTAAAAATTTTGTTTTTTTGTTTCAGCAGGTGACCATTAATTAGTATGATAAATTTTAGTGTCTTTTTGTGATGCAAAACACACTGATTTGAAAAATTCTCACAAACATCAAATAATTGTCAGATTTTGATGAAACTTTCTGGACTTATTCCCAAATGAACAAAATTATTTTTTAAATGTTTCTTTTCAAAAAAAAAACTTTGTAAAAATATCTTTTTTTTGCATCTTCTAACCTCCTCTTGTTTAAATTTATGAAATTTCAAGAAAATCTTTTTAATAGCACTTCTTTAAATAATGATTTAAATTGTTCTAGCCCTTTTTTTTTTAAATTACTTTGATTTTTTTTTTATCAAACAGGATCCATAGTTATAAAAAAAGTTTTTAGAATCATAAAATAAAAACAATAAGACTGTTATGATGTTGATTTGAGGTTAGTAGAGACAAACGCCAAATAACACGTAACAATAAAAAGGGTTTTAATAGGTTGGTAAAAAGATACAGAAATCGCCTGAGTAGTCAATAACTAGCTCAGCTAAGAACTTCTCTGTCTATCTGTCTCCCCCATGTCAACTGACATGCCACTATTTAAAGTCTTTGTTCGCAGACAAGTTCATCTTCAAGAGGGGTGGTAGGTTTCCGACACAACATAACGTTACATGTAAGCATCTTTAGATATTAAATTTTAAATATAAATAATGAGAAGAAATTTAGATGATAGCATAATGTCACTTGTTGAAGATATAAATAATGTTCTTTTCACTGAATTGTTTTTTGTGTGTAACTTTTCGTTTTCAGCATGCTTTGCATATATGTAGATATATCTTGAGTATCTCTTTCAGCTTATCTGCTCCTGTATAGAAGAAAAAAGGAAACAACATGGGTGATAAATTTTGGTGCCGTTGTGTTGCAGGCCTTTATTTTGTCTGATTCATCCTCTAAACCTAGCTTTTATTTAGTTTGAAATTCTATTTGATTTTTGCTTTTTTTTTTTTTTTTTAGCTTTTTAAAATTTTTGTTTGTTTCTTTGGATAAAATTATGTTGATTTTCTTTTTTGGTTTACAAAAGATTTATATATTTCTTTATTAAAAAAGAATAGTAAATATTTACTTAATTTTAATTTTTAATTGTTTTGTTTTTTACTCATTAGTTTATCTGTTAATAGTTATTTTTTAAGCAGTGGCATTTATTTTTCAGTTCCTACCTTATTGCAAAGCAGATTTACTTTTTAACCTTTAGTTATATTTACATTCTTTTGACATAGAACACTATTTATATAAGTTAACCTCGAATTTAATAAGGTTAAAGAAAATTAAGTCTTATTGATTAGTAATAATGGTGTATAATAACAAAGCAGGAATTAATTTCAAGTTAATCTAATGTATTGACTTTAGCAATTTCTAGAAGACAATGTAAGATAGAATTTGACTAGATTTTGCTAGATCACTGATTATCAATATGTTGTCTTGATAAATACACATTAAGTAAACTTACCTGTTATAGCTATCTTTTTTACTTTGCATTAAAAGATTGATGGTTGATACTTTTAATTTTTCTCAAATAGCCAGGTTTTCTTTGATTTTGCTCTATACTTTCATAACACATAGTTTATCTTGTAAATATGTATGAGATTAAAGTTATACTTTTATTGAAGTGAATAAAAAAAAATCATGTTCCTCTACTCTAATGCAACAGACTTGGATTCAACTTTACTCATTTTGCAGATGTTTTTGAATTTAATATTTACATTTAATTTAAGAAATCTTCAATGTGTACATTTTGGGAACATCATCTTTTTTTTTAAGGTGTAAAATAATTCACGGCAGATTAGTTTCTAGAAGCTTAGTTTAAAGTTTCAACTCTTTATTTTGCATGAGCGGATATTTTTGTATTCTAGAACTCTTGTGATGTCATATTTAAATGAAACCTTGTACTGGTTAACACTAACAAAATCAGGATATGTTTGAATAACCAGGTTACATCCCAGATATATTGCTAATCTTTATATTAAATTTATTTGTAACGTTTCTCAGTAGATATTGTAACAAGTAATTTTGAATGGGTTTATCCATTTATAATAATGTTTTAGACATTATTAAACTGAAATTTTTACTATTATAAACTAGTTGTTTGAGTCAAAATTATTCTATTTACATTGCTTACATATTTCTTCTGTCAAAAGATAGGGTTTTGACCAATATTTACATATTTAAATAAGAGTACAGTCTATATGCAATACACAATTTATAATATCTCGAATTTTTATATAATAATATTATCTTCTAATTTGTTTTTCTTTCATAATAATAAACAACTAAAAATGTTTTCTGGAATAATGAATTAAGAATATGTGATTTGGTATTTATTAATTCACTTTTAAAATTTTTTGTTGTGTACATTTTATTAAATCTTCAAATGTTGATTTGTCATGAGGCTCCTTGTGATTTTCATTTTTATTGTTACACTATGCCAAATGTTGGTCTGAATTAGAAAAACAAGGTCAAAAGTTTGATGACACTGACTTGCTAAAATATTTTAGAATGTTATTTTTAGTATATAGATAATGTTGTTTATGGTTGCAGTATTAGATAAAGGAAAATTTACATGAAAATACAACAGAAACTAAGTCAGTTGATGTTACAATTTAAGCACTATGGAATAAAGAATACAAAAAGATATATAATTTTTTAGACTTTGAAAGTTGCTTTGTTGATGTATTTTTACAATTGCAACAGTTTTAATTTTGTTTCATGTAGTTATCTAGATTATCAGAAAAACTAGTGTTAATACAGACATTTTTGAAGAAGTCTTACTATATTTAGATTTTGATAGAATCATTGTAAAATGAAAATATTGAAGACTTATTTCAGTGTGGCAGCTTAAAAGTAACAATATAACAATACTCTCTACTTGTGAGTAGTCTTGATATTTTAATGTTAAATAGAATTTCAATCAAATCATTACTTTTTTTTAACTTAAATGCTGAAAAACCAAGAAATAATATCAGTTTAAAAAAATTTTCTTTAATTTCTAAATTATTTTTTAGCTTCCTTTTGATGGTGAAGTCAAGAGAAGACAAAAAGCCTCAGGGCGTGGAAAAGGACCTGGTGGTCGTGGCAAAGAAAGACCAAAATCTTTGGTAAGCAACAATCCTTAATACATTTTATTTTTATCTATTATGTATGAGAATGATTGGAAGTAAGCTTGATAATACATTTTCATTGTTAAAAAGAGAAGACTAACATGTAGTTTCTCCCCACCCCTTTTTTTTAGATTTTCATAATCCTAGCCCTTGTCACTGTTTGTGCAAACATTAAATATTTATTAGCTGATAGCAAAATGTTCTGTTCATGTTAAAGCAAGAACATAAGATATTGCTGTTCAAACAATGGAAAGTTACTTAACAAAACAGCTTCATTTTTTAACTTTGAAAAAATTAAATAATTTGTATTTCGTGCTGTATTTCATATATTGTTCATATAAATAAAATTAAAAAAAAAAATTTAATAAAAATCCTTCAGCTATTGCAAAAACAAAACACATCATTGTTTCCTTTATAAATGCTGAAGTGTGTTTTCAATGGAAATATATACAAAATTCTGAAATGGGTTAGTTTATTTTGCTAATAATAATTTGTAATACTTAAATAGTTAAATTTGTAAATGTTTAAAATTTAACAATTAAAAGACAAGGGTAATCATCATGATATTCACTGGTGTTGTGCATATTTTGTTTTTGTTTTTTCCTCCTGCTTTGCAAGTTCAATGTTTTTGATCTAGTTTAGACTGATGATCAAGATGTATAATTTGAATTATTTGTAAGAGATATTTCTGCTTCATGCTTCACCCAATTTAAACACAAATTATATGCAAATAATTAATTCTTACCTTATTAAAGTCCTTAATCAGAAATCCCAAATATTCAACATATAAAAATTGTTGAGTTGTATATAGTTGCTGAATTGGAATAGTTTAGTTTTATTGTAAAAAAATATTCTGAATTTCCTTTGAGACAAGAACTGAAGCAAATAAAATAAGTGAAATTTTTTTCATTTTTCTCTCAAATTTCTACCACTGTAAAAGAAAAACAAAAAAAAAAAAAGATAATGATTCATTATTGTGCAAAAATGAGTTAAAGATTAGAAATGATACAAACAGTGCACCCGTGTTTTATTTAACAACTGTTCAAACTGATGGTTTGTAATACTTAATTCATACCTTTGATCTTTATATGAACTATGGAAAATCCAGTGATAAAAATGCAGATGTGATTGTAAATCATAAAATATTTTGTTCATAACACAATTATCTATGCACAAAAAAGACCAAAGTCACTAATTTCTTTCAGGGTTTTGGGGTTTAAACATTCCATTTATTATTTTTATATTATCATACTTTAATTTTACTTTTTGCAAGTTTGAAAATTAAATTTTACTGGTAAGATTATTTTCACTTTCTCCTCCCACTCTTTCCTTTCAAGTAATCTTTCTATCAAGGAAATGTAGGCAATTTTGTCCAGTACACAAACATTTGTTGAAATCAATCATCTTAGAAAGATATGTAATCAGCTGCACTAACTTCTAGCTCTGAATACAAACAGACCTATAATGAATGATATTTTTAGATATTTATTAACACAATGTTTAATTCTAACCCCACCCTTTCCTTAACTTATTTGTTTGTGACATGCCTTATGCTTTGATTAACTCTAACTAACCAACTTTCACAATTGCTTGCTGTTCTTTTACTCTTGGTCCTTGTCCACCTGTTTGCCATGTGTAGGATGAAAATGGAGGTCCGCACTCAGAACCTCCATTCCGAGGTCGTCGATCATTGCATGCAACAATTCCAGGAGGAGGACACCGACTCGAGCGGGTGGCCACTATGCCAGACCAAGAGATGAATGAGATACATATTCAAATCACTGGTAATGTTCCAGAGCATCGCTCAAGTTTCGCTAACTCCAGACAAACCAGAGATAAACATAGGGACAGAGAACGAGAACGGCCTGCAGATATTAATGTAAGTAATCTGGTAATCATCTCAGGAATCTCTCTCAGCAGAAACTGATCAGAAATCTTGCGAAATTAAAAATAAAAAATAAAAACATTTACTACATGTTTGCTTTTATGTTTTTCCCATGTTTTAGTGTGTTTATGTTTGTACTCTGAATTTCGCTTTGAGTAATTGTTATTGTGCTTTTAGATTTTTTTTTATTGTACTTCATGTGAATCTGAATTAATATTCAGGTCACTGTTTGCATTTTTATAATATAAACTTTTGCTACTGAAGTTTTATTTGCTAAACAGGAAATAATAAAGTCCTGTTTTAAATTATTAAAATTTCAGCTTCACATTATGATATATATTTTATTAGTGATTAAACTGAAAAAAAAAAACAATCCTATTTCTTTCTCTTCCTGTCACTCTCTCTCTCTATATTTCTTTTTATTACAAAATATTGTATTTAGTTGGAAGTTTTTTAAACATTTTGAAAGAGCACTCTTGTAAATTTCTGGTGCAGTTACTTCCCTTATCATGTCTAAATGGCATATGAATTTGTTTCTATCATCCTTTATATTTTTTATACAAACTTGATACCATACATGGATCTTCTCTTTCTTTTCTTTCATTGAAGTTTCATTAATGTCTGTATGTAAGAAAATCTAACATTTAATGAATACTTACTTTTATTTCTATTATAAATGTAAATTGGTAATAAAAATAGATGGATATATTGAGAATATGAATCAAAATTTTTTTCAAGTTCTTGAATGAAAAGAAATAGGAAATGTATTTTGCTGATGATTTTGTTATTCATTCTTTTGGTTTTTCCTTTGCTATCTACTGATAAATCTAATATATACAATGTAAGTTTTCAATATCTGGAGATATATGATTCAATTTTGTTCAAATACAATATTACTTGTGCTAAATAATGGAAAAACAGATTGTCCTTTTGAAAGTAAATGCCATATATCTCTTTCCAGTAGTCAAATAAGCAATATTTCTAATATGTCTCTGCAATTCTTGATTGCTTTTTCGTAAATTGTAACAAATCAATTAAGAACATAAAAAATTAAAATAAATATTTGTATTTTTCATCATGAGTTTTCATTCAGTTCTGGTTGTTATTTTTATTTTGAATTTATTTGATGAAATCTTTCATTGGTATTGTTGATTTTATTTTACTGATTTATAGAATAGCCTTGAAGAAATAAATATTATATTAAAGAAACTAAATTCACTTATGCTGAAAAAACCTTACCATCTTGGTAAGCTAAAATCACATTTACACCATAAACTTTGCATTAAAAAAATGATTGGTGATTTGATGAAAACATTTTTTTTTTTTAAGCTTCGTTGATCATTCTGACAAAAATAATTAGATTTGCTCTTTTATCCAGCATTTCCATCTGTAGTTATTATGTGTCTTTCTGTAGATAAATTTATTGAGTTTAGAAATTCAAGCAATAAAAGTGGTTATCACTATAATCTTTCCCAGAAACATCAAGATTATTATATGAGAAGTGTAATACAATGCTTATATAATATATTCTCATGAAAATGATAAAGATGTTGTAAAGACAAAAGGAAAAACATTTTACTATTTTTGAGTATTGATAATTTCTTGTTCTTAATTTGAAAACAATCATTTAGAAATAAGAATATGACTCACAATAAATCATTTAATACTAATTACTGAAAACAATTACAAATTTGGGGACATAGTGATTGTAAGCTCAATCTCTGGGTGAGGTAGTACAGACTTGTACTCAGTGGATATAGGGTGAGCAATAAATGAGTAGTACTAAATCATAACAAGATTAGATATCTTTCAGCATGGACAGTGGAACAAGAACAATCTACCCATGTAGATTAAATAATGGGTTCAGATTGAAATTCCCTGAAAGTTATCCAAATCAAAAAGCACCTGAAGAAGGACAGAAGGCAAATTAGCTGAAATGTTCTGATAACACAAGAGGACATTAGTCTAAATGTAAATAATTACAAATGTAGTAAATAAATTTAAACTGTTTTACAATGGACTTGTAAAAGCAATTATTTTCTAAAATCTCTTACAAATTCCTGATATTTTTTTTATTTTGGAAAATTTTTTTAAATGAGAAAAAGAAAAAGAAACTGATTGAAGCAACTGAAATTTACTCTTTCATTTATTTTAGGGACCACCACCCGACCCTGCCTACAACTTCCTTGCAGACAAGAGACGAGAAGGTCCTGCCCCAGAACGAGGGGACAGAGATTCAGGAGGAGGAGGGGGAGGGGGAAGCAGTGGCAGAGGCGGCAAAGGGGGAGGAGGAGGAGGAGGTGGGAATATAGAAGACAGCAACAGAGATGCTAGTCGACAAAAGGATCACCGCAGGCATCCTAAAAACTATGGTGGAACAGATTTTCAAAATGTGAAAACCAAAATGAAAATTGCACGGGAGAAACAACAGGTAATTAATTTCTTTTCCTTAGCATGATGCCATATTAGAAAAAAACAAAATATACATTACTTGCTTTTTACCTGGTAAAAACATTTTCAGAAATGAAGTAGAATTATTTATTGCAAAAATAAATTAAAAGGCTAATATATCTATAGCCACAAAAATATATTACACTAAAACAAACTTCAAAACACAAGATGTGTTGGCATCCATCCAAAATTTGGTGAGAGTTTGAATTCAGAGTTTTCTTTTTCCTAAACTTGTTGCCAGCCTAGGCAATGGAGCCCAGTCTTCTCTGCTATTTAACCCATAGCTAGAAAAAGATGGATTCATCCTTTCTCCAAGGGCATAAGTATGAAGTGAATGAAAGAGACTATCAGAATCTGAACTTGGCATGACCGATTCCGTGTTTTGTACCAATAACTTTTATGTTGCCTGCACATATTGTTCAAATATGACAGGCTTCTTTTTTAAAGTTCACATGAATTCTATAAAATCATACTGCACTAATGTCATACAAGTAAGAAATCTCCCTTTAACCTCAGTAAATAATGCTAATATTATATTTTGCTTTAAGGCTTTTACTGGTTCATCACCTCAGTCCAAAATGGAGATGGCAATATCTATGACTGGCCGAGAAAGGCGCCAGTACATGGAGTGGAAGGCAGAAAGGGAACGTGTAGACAAAGAACGGATTGAAAGGCAGAAATCTGCCTCAGGTGAATGGAGAAGAGAGTGGGATGCTGAAAAGAATCCACAAGAGTAAGTATTTTAATAACATATATATAAGACACACAAAGTAAATTTTATATATTGTTGTATATATTATTGTTATATATAATTTTTGTATAGTAGCAAATGAGTAGTATATCTCATTTCATAAAGTTGTTTATCCAATAGTATGATAAGCATGAGGTTGGTTCATTGATAACTTTAATTTTTTCATATTGATATTTACTATGCTTAGGAAACTAAAATGAAGATTACTTAATAGCCTATAAAATGAACTTTTTAACTATTACTACTTGTCATAGTATCTCATTAAAAATAAACTTATAAAACCTATTAACATTATTGTCATGTCTTGATGTTGCTTTGACTTTTCAGTGGCCAGTCTTATATAATATATCTGTCCAGCTTAAGTTCAGTGGAACATGATGTCAGGGAGGAATTTTTTCTAAAAGAAGAAAATTATTTTCTAGAAGAACAGCACCCAGATTAAAAAAAAACATTTCTTTTATTTGGGGGAAAAAAAAAGAAAATGCTCAGATTAACTCCACCAGAGCTGTTTGATTTTACAAACCTGGAAAATTGGCAAAAATGACCACAGACATTTCATTGCTTTCGAGAAGCATCAAAACTCTGGGAGAAGGTAACAAAACACAAGTAAATAAATTAATATATTGCATGGGAAGCCAAGCCTAAAATACATTCTGGACATTTTCTTTCTCATGATGAGAAGATGCACATGTGTATGACTCGCCTACTTCATGTCTAAAAAAATATAATTCATGAAAGGGCAAAATTTTATCTTCAATAAAGTTTTCCACTGGTTCTCCTGGTAATTGATACCAGGAGAACCAGTGGAAAACTTTATTTGCATATTGCATGAATTAGCAAGAGCATGTGAGTTTACAAAGAAAAATGACCAAATCAGAGACTGTAGTGTCTTGTGATAGCAGTACAGAATAATGACCTATCTGAAAGATTACAATTAATTCTTGATTTGAAACTCAAGGAAGCTACAGAGACGTCCAGGAGCAGTGAGCAAATAAAAGCTCAAATGGAAGAAAAATGTAGGCAAACTAAAGACCCAGAGAAACCTACAAGATGCAAAATTAAAAAGAACATGTAGAAACAACAACAGTAATTGTTGTAGATGTAATAAAATACATGATTTTAAAAACTTTCCAGTGAAAGGGAAATGCTGAAAGAAATGCAGAAAAAGGAATCATTTTGATGTAGCTTGCATAACTAAAACTAATATAATACATACAGTAAATGAAGAAAAGGAATATTTCCTAGGAGAGCTCACAAACTTAAATAACCTGTGGTATAAAAATTTGTAAAACAGCAGTGAAATTTAAAACTTACAAAGGTGTTGATATAAAAATTATCTCAACCGAAACTTAGAGAAATCTGCGAGAAAAACCTATATTAAAACAAGTAAATGACATCTTCACAAGTCCTGGAGGAATAGTTCAATGCATTGGAAAATTTAATACTGCAACAGAAGAAGGTAAAAACAGATATTATTTGGAGACATAATATCATCAAATGTGTAAAGAGAGAGAAATTATTATCTTGAAAAATGTCTGTAAAAATGAATTTAGGGAAACGTTTAAACAAAATAGAACAGGGAACTTCATTTGATACTGGTGGGTGTAACAAAGGAGACCCAGTTAAAATAGTTATGAAAAAAGACACATTACCCTACTGTGTAATAACAACTAGTAGAGTCCCATTTTCTATTTTACAAAAGGTGAAGTAAGAATTGAATATACCAGAAAGCAACAGAATTATTGAAAAGATTACAGGACCAACTAAATGGTAATTGATCCACCTCCACTGTGTCGTGTTGAGAAAATTTCTTTTGCATCTTTTACATGCCAGTAATGCTGAAACCGTCTGGTTGAATTTATCTTTGTTATTCAACAACACTTTCTTCCATTTGTCCACATCC